CATCAGAATAATTATGATCATCTGATTTTTGTTCAACTGGTTCTGATGAATTTATTTCATGATACGAATTATCAAAAATGATAAGAGATCTATGAGTTGAATTATTTCCTTTGATTAAATATGATGTATTATATTTGTCGCCAGCATGATAAAAAAATAAGTAATCGTGTTTAGAATTAGTTATTGTTAGAAAAGGTTTTTCAACAATAATATTAGCTCTATTTATTTTTCCATAGACATCATAAATATCACCATCTTCGAAATGAACTGTTCCATTTGTGAAAGCAGTAACAACACATGTATGAGCTGTGTCCTGAGAAGTGAATTTGTAATTAGACCTTACATTTGTGATAATCGAAGTGCAATCATAATAATTCAAATTAAAAACAACAAAATTACATGGAATAGGTTCGTCACTGGAGGATTCTAATGTAATTGTACCTGTGTGAGCGAAATAAATTGCTGAATATTGTGTATTTCCAAGAATTTCTAAAGATACTTCTGAAGTTCTTGCTTCTCCGGAAATGTTGCGATAATCAGTAAATACTACGTATTGTTCCTTATAAAAATTAAGTTTTGTTTGATTTCTGCCAATTAATAACTTTTGAATTCCGAATATTTTGTATTTTGGCTGGGATCCAAAAGAAATTGATTGGTTGCAAAGATATTCGAGCTTGTCCTTATCATAAGCACTGTATGTATCATAAGAAAAACTTTGTGAAATTTTGATTGTTGCAACTGTATTCGGAGATTTACTTCTGAACAAAATGTATAATGTCGGTGAGAAATAAAGGAAACAATAAGAATTACCGAAAAAGTGACAAAACATCAAAAACAGGGAGGGGGTCTCAATTTTTATTACTTATATTATTTTACAATATTTATATAAATACTCTTTATAATATATTTTACTATAAAATTATACCTCAAATTCAAATATTTATAATATTATTTACATAATTATCTCAAAATTATATTTTTATATATTATTTTTCATATGTATAAATCATATAATCTATATCTATGCAAATCTCATCTAAAATTTTTTGAAGCAAACCGCTACCATTTTATAATGGTCCATCTTAAATTCATCATAAATTCTGGTACATGTTAGTACCAGAGTCTTCAAATCTCAAACACTCTGGTACCAACATGTACCAGACGCGAGTTTCCAATGCCCTCGTACGATTTTCTATTAAGATCTTCTTGAATGAGAAGGTCTTCATAGAAACTCGTACGAGGGCTTCTCTTTTAAATACTCTGGTACCTGCTGGTATCGGAGTCGACTTTACAGCCCTTTCCCCAATTTTGAAGCTGGGGAAAGTTTTCAAGCAATGAAAGGGAAGCTCTCGCTATGAGGTGAAAATCTAGAATTTTTACCTCATAGCGAGTAATCCTTTGTTAATTGCTTGAAAACTTTCTTCAAATTATCAAAATTTCGAGGAAAGTTTCCTTGCTTCAAAGTAGAGATGGAGCCCTTTGAGCCACTGCATATAGGTCAGTGACTCAAAATACTCCATCTCTACTAGAAATCGCCAAAATTTGGGTCGCAATCTTTGAAATGCGACGCAAGTTTGGGCAATTTCGCGAGGGACTTGCTCCATTTGGTGCATAGATTCACACTCTATGCACCAGATGGAACAATTCTTTCGCTGACAGCGGGAAACTTTGTCTGAATAGTTTAACATTCAGACAAAGTTTCCCGCTGTCAGAGAGGGAATGGAAGGGTAAGAGGTATATATTCATAATGTATACCTCTTACTCTTCCATTCCCTCAAGAAAGTTCAAAAACTTGGGTGCAATCAGTTCTGATTGCACCCAAGTTTTTGAACTTTATATAGGGAATTGTTGGCTATGTTGTACTGATCATGAATCAGTACATCATAGCCAACAATTCCTTCGCAAACAGTGGGAAACTTTGTCTGAATAGTTTAACATTCAGACAAAGTTTCCCGCTGTCAGGGAGGGAATTAGAGGGTGGGAGATATATAGATAGACTATAAATCTCTCACCCTTTAATTCCCTCAAGAAAGTTCAAAAACTTGGGTGCAATCAGAACTGATTGCACCAAAGTTTTTGAATTTTGTATAAGGAATTGTTGGCTATGATGTGGATAGCCGCTGCCAGACCAAATGAATTAACCGTTGTGAATAACGTTTCTGAATCTTTATTTAAAAAGATAAAATATCACGATTTTGGCTGCGTTAAAAATCAAAGAATTGATGTTTTTGTCAAAAATCTTTTAGAAGAAGTTGCACCCAATTACTTTTATCGTATTAAAAACGATTTACTTCAAACAGGTTTTATTCCTTCAATTAGAATTCGCGAGCCTCGATTGACAGATTATAAAACAAAATTGAAAAGAGAAGTTCAATCACGTTTATACCAAGTATTAAATTTTGTTCAGAATCAAGAAGCCAATTTGAATCCATTAAGATTTTTATTGGAAAATGCTGAAGAAAAACTTTCTCAAATAAATGAGAAGATACAAAATTCAATTACATATTTAAGATCGTTTGAAATTCCAAATGAATTGTTAGATACGTATATGTTAGAAATTAATGAATTTTGTTATAATTCTCCAGATTATATTTTAGAACATTTCGAAGAATTTTTGGAGGATTTCAAAGAAAAGAATAATTTAATAGACTAAAAAATTTATTATTTTTATTTATTGTGAATTTTAAATTGTCACTTTTTAACTGTTACTCCCTATTGAAAGTGTCACTTTTTGGGTGTCACTTTTTCGGAAATTCTTATATACTCTAAGAAAAACTTTGTGAAATTTTGATTGTTGCAACTGTATTCGGAGATTTACTTCTGAACAAAATGTATAATGTCGGTGAGAAATAAAGATGGTCTGTTGTGTAATTTATAACTTTGTATTGAAATGTTGGTTGATAATAAGAATAATTAAAATCGTAATCATCCGAAGATGTGCTTATGTTCAATCTAACATCTGTTGGATCTAAGTAAACTGAGCAGTAATTCTTATTGATTTCATATTTTTTATTTGAATAATTGAAAGCTAGATCGTTCGATTCGGATAGAAATTCTATGGAATCGCAGTAATTTGAAAAGAAACTACACAAAATCTTACTTTATAATTATAATACGTGTTTGTTGATTTAAAATTAAAAGTTGGCTCTGTGATTTTCCATATTTTGCTTGTGCATGATTCATAGTTAATACGCAAGTAATCGCTCATATATGTATCTTGTAGAATAAAATAATAACTAAATGATTTGTTATCTGCAAATGAAAAAGTAATATCTTGACCATATGAACCAATGTCAATTAAATAATCTCCTGTTCTGTTAATTATACCATTGGTGATTGTATAGTAAAACCAGGACATTCACAATGATTTTAATTTGAAAGCGGATCTATTCAGAATGAATTTTGAATATTTTACACAGTCAGATTGTCAAATCATTTTAGTTTATTGGATAATTCTTTTAATGTATTATTTTTAAAATTTTAAAAATAAAATAAAAGTGGATCCAAAATTTTTGTATCAGAATGGGTCAATTCATGAATCAGTCCTCAAGAACAAAAATGAAGAAGGTCGTAATTGCCTTATGCATCTAAGCTACTATCCAAAAAAGAGAAATTGGATTAGAAAAGGATTATGAGTGATTGAAATTAATACGTGTGCGAATAACCATGGATTTGTAAAAATTAATGCTTCAGAAATACAACATTTTGCTATTGAGAATTCCTTGTAAAGTCCAAATCTCAAAATACATAATTTTATATTTAGTTTGTTTGATGTTGAAACTATATTACCACCAAGAAGAGACAATATTATCTTAGTAAACATGTTTCAATTAATTTGATGTTCTTGGATATAAACTGCGAGTCAAAAGGCGTACCTACCTTCAACTTTTTGAGAGAAGTCATACAATTAATTATATGAGTTTCTCTCAAAAAGTCGATTTCTGCCAGGTACACCTTTTGGACCGCACAAGCTATTTGCTCTAATTCGATATAACAACAAAGGATCATAAAACAGATATAAATATAGGATGAACTGATACGATTTTTTCGGGTCTAACTTCAAAATTTAAGATTTCGAAATTTAATACAAGCTTCAAACCAGAAATTTAAGCATAAATAGAAGCTGATTTGCTACCTATTGCACGTGAAGCTTATTTGAGCTCTAATATTTAATAATTTTCTCTCGCTCTCAGTGAAGGCACCGTTAGCATTAGAAATGTAAACTATTCAAAAATTGATAGGTCCGCCTTTTGATTCGCAGTTTAAAGCATAAATTTTGTCAATTAAATTTTAATTACAGAATAAAAAGAAAAGTCAATAAAAGCATATGAAAGCTGACACGAATTATTCATAAGGATTATCGAATAATGATTTCGATTTTTGTGAATAATTTGGTATTTCTTTTGTTTCGATTAAATATGGATTTATTTGAACCTCTTCTAAAGGTAATGGTTCGGATTTATTAGATACTTCTTCTAATAGACAACTTCTATTATCAATGAAATGTTCATGAATTATTGATTGTGTTTCCTCTCTTTTTTCTTTTTTTTTAAGACATAAAAGAGGAATTGCAATGCTTGATGGTAATGATAGTCTTATTGTTATCAATTAAAATTATCTCCCATCCTATATAATAAAATTTGATTCAATATTACTAAATACTTTATGTTTCTTAATAATTGAGATGCCTAAAATGTTGATAATGTTGTTATAAACTTATTTTCACACGCTCAATCTTATGGGAGTAATAAGAATTGTAATAAAAAAAACATTATAAATCTTTAAAGATTCGTTCATAAACAATATATAAAAAAATAGTTATTCATAAGGATTCTCGAAATAAGTATTTGATTGTTCTTGCTTTGGATTATATGCTGGTGCTTTATATTCATTAGGATATGGATTGCTGTTCGTTTCTTCTAAAGGTAAATCTTTTTCGGTTTTATCAACAAGGCTTTGATTAATTGGATTTTCAGCTCTGAATTTTCTGTGTCTATAACATAAGTAAGCAGCGACAGCAATGAGACCTGCTCCAACTGCTGCTCCAATAATAATTTCCAAAACAGCACCTTCACTTAGTCCTTCATCACTATCATCATCAGAATAATTATGATCATCTGATTTTTGTTCAACTGGTTCTGATGAATTTATTTCATGATACGAATTATCAAAAATGATAAGAGATCTATGAGTTGAATTATTTCCTTTGATTAAATATGATGTATTATATTTGTCGCCAGCATGATAAAAAAATAAGTAATCGTGTTTAGAATTAGTTATTGTTAGAAAAGGTTTTTCAACAATAATATTAGCTCTATTTATTTTTCCATAGACATCATAAATATCACCATCTTCGAAATGAACTGTTCCATTTGTGAAAGCAGTAACAACACATGTATGAGCTGTGTCCTGAGAAGTGAATTTGTAATTAGACCTTACATTTGTGATAATCGAAGTGCAATCATAATAATTCAAATTAAAAACAACAAAATTACATGGAATAGGTTCGTCACTGGAGGATTCTAATGTAATTGTACCTGTGTGAGCGAAATAAATTGCTGAATATTGTGTATTTCCAAGAATTTCTAAAGATACTTCTGAAGTTCTTGCTTCTCCGGAAATGTTGCGATAATCAGTAAATACTACGTATTGTTCCTTATAAAAATTAAGTTTTGTTTGATTTCTGCCAATTAATAACTTTTGAATTCCGAATATTTTGTATTTTGGCTGGGATCCAAAAGAAATTGATTGGTTGCAAAGATATTCGAGCTTGTCCTTATCATAAGCACTGTATGTATCATAAGAAAAACTTTGTGAAATTTTGATTGTTGCAACTGTATTCGGAGATTTACTTCTGAACAAAATGTATAATGTCGGTGAGAAATAAAGATGGTCTGTTGTGTAATTTATAACTTTGTATTGAAATGTTGGTTGATAATAAGAATAATTAAAATCGTAATCATCCGAAGATGTGCTTATGTTCAATCTAACATCTGTTGGATCTAAGTAAACTGAGCAGTAATTCTTATTGATTTCATATTTTTTATTTGAATAATTGAAAGCTAGATCGTTCGATTCGGATAGAAATTCTATGGAATCGCAGTAATTTGGAAAAGAAACTACACAAAATCTTACTTTATAATTATAATACGTGTTTGTTGATTTAAAATTAAAAGTTGGCTCTGTGATTTTCCATATTTTGCTTGTGCATGATTCATAGTTAATACGCAAGTAATCGCTCATATATGTATCTTGTAGAATAAAATAATAACTAAATGATTTGTTATCTGCAAATGAAAAAGTAATATCTTGACCATATGAACCAATGTCAATTAAATAATCTCCTGTTCTGTTAATTATACCATTGGTGATTGTATAGTAAAACCAGGACATTCACAATGATTTTAATTTGAAAGCGGATCTATTCAGAATGAATTTTGAATATTTTACACAGTCAGATTGTCAAATCATTTTAGTTTATTGGATAATTCTTTTAATGTATTATTTTTAAAATTTTAAAAATAAAATAAAAGTGGATCCAAAATTTTTGTATCAGAATGGGTCAATACTTCATGAATCAGTCCTCAAGAACAAAAATGAAGAAGGTCGTAATTGCCTTATGCATCTAAGCTACTATCCAAAAAAGAGAAATTGGATTAGAAAAGGATTATGAGTGATTGAAATTAATACGTGTGCGAATAACCATGGATTTGTAAAAATTAATGCTTCAGAAATACAACATTTTGCTATTGAGAATTCCTTGTAAAGTCCAAATCTCAAAATACATAATTTTATATTTAGTTTGTTTGATGTTGAAACTATATTACCACCAAGAAGAGACAATATTATCTTAGTAAACATTTTTCAATTAATTTGATGTTCATGGATATAAACTGCGAGTCAAAAGGCGTACCTACCTTCAACTTTTTGAGAGAAGTCATACAATTAATTATATGAGTTTCTCTCAAAAAGTCGATTTCTGCCAGGTACACCTTTTGGACCGCACAAGCTATTTGCTCTAATTCGATATAACAACAAAGGATCATAAAACAGATATAAATATAGGATGAACTGATACGATTTTTTCGGGTCTAACTTCAAAATTTAAGATTTCGAAATTTAATACAAGCTTCAAACCAGAAATTTAAGCATAAATAGAAGCTGATTTGCTACCTATTGCACGTGAAGCTTATTTGAGCTCTAATATTTAATAATTTTCTCTCGCTCTCAGTGAAGGCACCGTTAGCATTAGAAATGTAAACTATTCAAAAATTGATAGGTCCGCCTTTTGATTCGCAGTTTAAAGCATAAATTTTGTCAATTAAATTTTAATTACAGAATAAAAAGAAAAGTCAATAAAAGCATATGAAAGCTGACACGAATTATTCATAAGGATTATCGAATAATGATTTCGATTTTTGTGAATAATTTGGTATTTCTTTTGTTTCGATTAAATATGGATTTATTTGAACCTCTTCTAAAGGTAATGGTTCGGATTTATTAGATACTTCTTCTAATAGACAACTTCTATTATCAATGAAATGTTCATGAATTATTGATTGTGTTTCCTCTCTTTTTTCTTTTTTTTTAAGACATAAAAGAGGAATTGCAATGCTTGATGGTAATGATAGTCTTATTGTTATCAATTAAAATTATCTCCCATCCTATATAATAAAATTTGATTCAATATTACTAAATACTTTATGTTTCTTAATAATTGAGATGCCTAAAATGTTGATAATGTTGTTATAAACTTATTTTCACACGCTCAATCTTATGGGAGTAATAAGAATTGTAATAAAAAAAACATTATAAATCTTTAAAGATTCGTTCATAAACAATATATAAAAAAAATAGTTATTCATAAGGATTCTCGAAATAAGTATTTGATTGTTCTTGCTTTGGATTATATGCTGGTGCTTTATATTCATTAGGATATGGATTGCTGTTCGTTTCTTCTAAAGGTAAATCTTTTTCGGTTTTATCAACAAGGCTTTGATTAATTGGATTTTCAGCTCTGAATTTTCTGTGTCTATAACATAAGTAAGCAGCGACAGCAATGAGACCTGCTCCAACTGCTGCTCCAATAATAATTTCCAAAACAGCACCTTCACTTAGTCCTTCATCACTATCATCATCAGAATAATTATGATCATCTGATTTTTGTTCAACTGGTTCTGATGAATTTATTTCATGATACGAATTATCAAAAATGATAAGAGATCTATGAGTTGAATTATTTCCTTTGATTAAATATGATGTATTATATTTGTCGCCAGCATGATAAAAAAATAAGTAATCGTGTTTAGAATTAGTTATTGTTAGAAAAGGTTTTTCAACAATAATATTAGCTCTATTTATTTTTCCATAGACATCATAAATATCACCATCTTCGAAATGAACTGTTCCATTTGTGAAAGCAGTAACAACACATGTATGAGCTGTGTCCTGAGAAGTGAATTTGTAATTAGACCTTACATTTGTGATAATCGAAGTGCAATCATAATAATTCAAATTAAAAACAACAAAATTACATGGAATAGGTTCGTCACTGGAGGATTCTAATGTAATTGTACCTGTGTGAGCGAAATAAATTGCTGAATATTGTGTATTTCCAAGAATTTCTAAAGATACTTCTGAAGTTCTTGCTTCTCCGGAAATGTTGCGATAATCAGTAAATACTACGTATTGTTCCTTATAAAAATTAAGTTTTGTTTGATTTCTGCCAATTAATAACTTTTGAATTCCGAATATTTTGTATTTTGGCTGGGATCCAAAAGAAATTGATTGGTTGCAAAGATATTCGAGCTTGTCCTTATCATAAGCACTGTATGTATCATAAGAAAAACTTTGTGAAATTTTGATTGTTGCAACTGTATTCGGAGATTTACTTCTGAACAAAATGTATAATGTCGGTGAGAAATAAAGATGGTCTGTTGTGTAATTTATAACTTTGTATTGAAATGGTTGATAATAAGAATAATTAAAATCGTAATCATCCGAAGATGTGCTTATGTTCAATCTAACATCTGTTGGATCTAAGTAAACTGAGCAGTAATTCTTATTGATTTCATATTTTTTATTTGAATAATTGAAAGCTAGATCGTTCGATTCGGATAGAAATTCTATGGAATCGCAGTAATTTGGAAAAGAAACTACACAAAATCTTACTTTATAATTATAATACGTGTTTGTTGATTTAAAATTAAAAGTTGGCTCTGTGATTTTCCATATTTTGCTTGTGCATGATTCATAGTTAATACGCAAGTAATCGCTCATATATGTATCTTGTAGAATAAAATAATAACTAAATGATTTGTTATCTGCAAATGAAAAAGTAATATCTTGACCATATGAACCAATGTCAATTAAATAATCTCCTGTTCTGTTAATTATACCATTGGTGATTGTATAGTAAAACCAGGACATTCACAATGATTTTAATTTGAAAGCGGATCTATTCAGAATGAATTTTGAATATTTTACACAGTCAGATTGTCAAATCATTTTAGTTTATTGGATAATTCTTTTAATGTATTATTTTTAAAATTTTAAAAATAAAATAAAAGTGGATCCAAAATTTTTGTATCAGAATGGGTCAATATTTCATGAATCAGTCCTCAAGAACAAAAATGAAGAAGGTCGTAATTGCCTTATGCATCTAAGCTACTATCCAAAAAAGAGAAATTGGATTAGAAAAGGATTATGAGTGATTGAAATTAATACGTGTGCGAATAACCATGGATTTGTAAAAATTAATGCTTCAGAAATACAACATTTTGCTATTGAGAATTCCTTGTAAAGTCCAAATCTCAAAATACATAATTTTATATTTAGTTTGTTTGATGTTGAAACTATATTACCACCAAGAAGAGACAATATTATCTTAGTAAACATGTTTCAATTAATTTGATGTTCTTGGATATAAACTGCGAGTCAAAAGGCGTACCTACCTTCAACTTTTTGAGAGAAGTCATACAATTAATTATATGAGTTTCTCTCAAAAAGTCGATTTCTGCCAGGTACACCTTTTGGACCGCACAAGCTATTTGCTCTAATTCGATATAACAACAAAGGATCATAAAACAGATATAAATATAGGATGAACTGATACGATTTTTTCGGGTCTAACTTCAAAATTTAAGATTTCGAAATTTAATACAAGCTTCAAACCAGAAATTTAAGCATAAATAGAAGCTGATTTGCTACCTATTGCACGTGAAGCTTATTTGAGCTCTAATATTTAATAATTTTCTCTCGCTCTCAGTGAAGGCACCGTTAGCATTAGAAATGTAAACTATTCAAAAATTGATAGGTCCGCCTTTTGATTCGCAGTTTAAAGCATAAATTTTGTCAATTAAATTTTAATTACAGAATAAAAAGAAAAGTCAATAAAAGCATATGAAAGCTGACACGAATTATTCATAAGGATTATCGAATAATGATTTCGATTTTTGTGAATAATTTGGTATTTCTTTTGTTTCGATTAAATATGGATTTATTTGAACCTCTTCTAAAGGTAATGGTTCGGATTTATTAGATACTTCTTCTAATAGACAACTTCTATTATCAATGAAATGTTCATGAATTATTGATTGTGTTTCCTCTCTTTTTTCTTTTTTTTTAAGACATAAAAGAGGAATTGCAATGCTTGATGGTAATGATAGTCTTATTGTTATCAATTAAAATTATCTCCCATCCTATATAATAAAATTTGATTCAATATTACTAAATACTTTATGTTTCTTAATAATTGAGATGCCTAAAATGTTGATAATGTTGTTATAAACTTATTTTCACACGCTCAATCTTATGGGAGTAATAAGAATTGTAATAAAAAAAAACATTATAAATCTTTAAAGATTCGTTCATAAACAATATATAAAAAAAATAGTTATTCATAAGGATTCTCGAAATAAGTATTTGATTGTTCTTGCTTTGGATTATATGCTGGTGCTTTATATTCATTAGGATATGGATTGCTGTTCGTTTCTTCTAAAGGTAAATCTTTTTCGGTTTTATCAACAAGGCTTTGATTAATTGGATTTTCAGCTCTGAATTTTCTGTGTCTATAACATAAGTAAGCAGCGACAGCAATGAGACCTGCTCCAACTGCTGCTCCAATAATAATTTCCAAAACAGCACCTTCACTTAGTCCTTCATCACTATCATCATCAGAATAATTATGATCATCTGATTTTTGTTCAACTGGTTCTGATGAATTTATTTCATGATACGAATTATCAAAAATGATAAGAGATCTATGAGTTGAATTATTTCCTTTGATTAAATATGATGTATTATATTTGTCGCCAGCATGATAAAAAAATAAGTAATCGTGTTTAGAATTAGTTATTGTTAGAAAAGGTTTTTCAACAATAATATTAGCTCTATTTATTTTTCCATAGACATCATAAATATCACCATCTTCGAAATGAACTGTTCCATTTGTGAAAGCAGTAACAACACATGTATGAGCTGTGTCCTGAGAAGTGAATTTGTAATTAGACCTTACATTTGTGATAATCGAAGTGCAATCATAATAATTCAAATTAAAAACAACAAAATTACATGGAATAGGTTCGTCACTGGAGGATTCTAATGTAATTGTACCTGTGTGAGCGAAATAAATTGCTGAATATTGTGTATTTCCAAGAATTTCTAAAGATACTTCTGAAGTTCTTGCTTCTCCGGAAATGTTGCGATAATCAGTAAATACTACGTATTGTTCCTTATAAAAATTAAGTTTTGTTTGATTTCTGCCAATTAATAACTTTTGAATTCCGAATATTTTGTATTTTGGCTGGGATCCAAAAGAAATTGATTGGTTGCAAAGATATTCGAGCTTGTCCTTATCATAAGCACTGTATGTATCATAAGAAAAACTTTGTGAAATTTTGATTGTTGCA